TACCAAAGGGATGCCCAATGTCTGCTGACATCTATGATCTAAGTCCGAAGTCTCCTGTAGCTTCCTGTACTGTTAGCCTGCTAAAGCAGAAGGAGGGGAGAGGAGCGGTGGTGGTGGTGGGGCGGAGAGAGGGGGAGGAAGTTGCTTCAGAGGCGAGTTTTGAGATACAGATAGAGATAGAAGGCTATTGGCAAACTCAAGTTTTTGATTCTGGACTTAATTAGGAGGCAGGTTGTAAACATCTTCAGAAAGCTCCTGAATTTATAGGTTAATTAGCATAAGCTTTTAAAGATGTACCATTTATAGCAAGACCTCTCAAAAAAGAATCTTGTGGCTGAAAACAAAACTGAAAGCCAGCTAATGATAAAGCTACAATTTGAGCATATGCTCCATGCCAGTTTGCAGGAAAATCTCTCCAGGAGAAAGAACCACTGACTCCAGCCCCTTAGACCTAAGACATGAGATTTACAGAACTCGGGTCCTAAGAGCCAAGGAAACTTGGAGTCAAGCAGTCCAAGGCTTGGATATATTTTTAATGCCTGTACTGAAAAACTGAGGCTCAAAGAAGTTGAGACACTTGCCTGAGGTCCCACAGCTGGGAGTTCTAGAGCCAGAGCAGAGCCCGGATTCCCTATCACATGGAGCCCTTTTCATTAAAACACATGAAGACACTGCTCCCTAATCGGTCAGGCAAAAGCTTCCTCAGGTGTCTGGAGGCATCTCAGGTGAAAGCACCCAGAGAGGAGGCTATCGGGCACCTCTGATGCTTAGTGAGGGTCACTGGATGATACTTGTCTAAGTTCCCAGCTTTACTGGAGTGCATTTGAAGGGTGGCCCAGAAGATATGTCCACATAAAATCTCTGGAACCTGTGAATGTTTGGAAAAAGGGCCTTTGCAGATGTAATCATTAAGCTAAGAATCTTGAGATGAGATCATCCTGGATTATCTGGGTGAGCCCTAAATTCAATGACAAGTGTCCTCCTAAGAGCAAGGCAGAGAGAGCGATGACCAAGAGAGAAGACACAGAGGGGAGGTCATGTGAAGATGAAGGCCGAGATCAGGGTCATGCAGCCACAGGCCACCACAGGCTGGAAGAGGCAAGGGAGAGTTCCCCCCGAGAGCCTCTGGAGGGAGCGTGGCCCTGCTGCCACCTTGGGTTTGGACTTCTGGCCTCTGGAACTGAAAGAGAGTAAGTTTCTGTGGTTTTAAGCCCCCACTGTTAGAGCAGATTCAGGAAACTAATACATTTACAATCTCTATGGATACAACCAATCAGAAGAAACAACAGTAACAAAAAAAGATAAGGATCACAGAACGGAGAAGCAAAACATGGTATATCCATATAATGCAATATCATTCAGTCTTGAAGGAAATTCTGGCACATGCTACAACACGGATGAACCTTGAGGACATTGTTCAAGGTAAAGTAGACATACACACACACACCTGGATACTATATGATTCCACCTATATAAGGTACCTAGAGTAGTCAAATTCATAGAGACAGAGAATAGGATGGTTGTTGTCGGGGCTTGAGGGGGAAGAGGCGAATGAGGATTTACTGTTTAGTAAGTATAGCGTCTCCGCTTTACAAGCTGTAAAGCGTCATGGAGATGGATGGTGGTGAGGGTTGCACCACATCATGGATATATTTAATACCACTGAACTGTACACTTAAAAGTGATTAAGATGGTAAATTTTATGTTAGGTGCATTTTACCACATTTTTAAAATGGAAGGGAAAAAATCCAAAAGGCAGGGACCAAAGCATTTACAAATTCACAATCATAACGTTTCAATGATGGGGTCTGAGAATGAAGGCACGGGAGGAGGGTGGAGTGTTGAGACCTGTTGGGTTCACATGGGGAACCAAGTCAAGCTGACTCAGAAGTTGGTCACATGTCAGTGTGCTACTCAGGCGGGACATTGTTCTAGATCACACCCTTCTGAGGAGGTCGGCACTCCCGCTGGGTGGGTCTTGACTCTACCATGAAGCCCATACAAACGACTCCCAGAAGTCCCAATTCTGCAGGCACCGTGTGCAAAGCCTCCACAATGTCCACCTGACAGACGGACCTCACTGGAACCCGAAGCCAAGGGGTGAGGAGCTTCTGCAATTACCGCCAACACCCACTCCAAGGGGGGGAGCTGGAGTAAGCAGATGTTTCTACAAAATGGCATGTTCTTGGACCTGGTGTGTATTTTAAACATTCCTTCTCACAGCTGTTGAACTAAATCCGAGGTCCTCGATAGCACCCCCTGTCTGCTGCCTCCCCAACTCTTTTTAGGGAACACAGTTCCCTCCATGGACTGAGACAGCTGTTTCGATCCACGCCTTCTGTAAACGTGGCTGGCTTAAATCCGGGGGCTATGCTCAGGGTCTCCCCATCGCTCTTCCTACAGCCAAACATCTGGGAGATGGTTCTGATATTTTATTACTGTTGTTCTAAAACGCAATTTCCCCCTTGCTCCCAACTCAATGCGTTTATTTCAGTCTTATGCAGATCAAACTTGGGAACCCCAAAGGAAATGCTGTGGGGCCCTCCCCTCCGAGCTCCAGGGAGGGATGAGAGACATGTTTAGGGGACAGGTGGGGAGCGCCCACCACCACACTTTGAGTCTTGTGGTCTGACCACCTGGACTTCATGCTGCACTCTGGATAGGGCACAACCAGCTTCTCCAATAGCTTTCCTGCAGGGGTGCTTCTCCGAGGGCCCAGCATTGACCCCACTTGGGCCAGCTATTAAACTGGAAAGGCCATGAAAACTCTGCCTCCCCCCCAGCTGTGTATGGAGGGTGGGTCCACCTCTGGGTTTCCCTCCTGCCAGTGCTCCCACTGTTTTGTGCCCTGAGTTCTGCAGTAGTCTCCTCCCTGTCTCTACCCTCACCCCCTTCCCAACCATTTTTTAAAAAATTCGAGGTAAAATTCACATCCCATAAAATAAACCATTTAAATGTGAACAATTCTGCAGCATTTAGGACAGTCACAATGTCGTGCATTTACCGCCTTTATCTTGTTCCAAAACATGTCATCGCTCCAGTTGGGTACCAATGAGCAGTTACTCTTATTTCCCACCCCACCCCCCGCCCCCCCAACTCCAGGCAACCTCCAGTCTGCTTTCTGTCTCTATGGATTTACCTCTTCTGGATATTTCATCTACATGGAAGCAAGCCGTATGCAGCCTTTTGTGTCTGGCTTCTTCCACTTAGCATAATGTTTTCAAGGTTCATCCATGTGGTAGCGGGTATCAGAAGTCCTTCCTTTTTTAGGCTGAATATTATTCCTCGTCTGTATATCCACATTTTGTTGGTCCATTCATCCATGCACGGACACTGGGTTGTTTCCATCTTCTGGCTGTTGTGAACAGAGCTGCTATGGGTGTGGTTCTATGTGTATCTGAGGACTCCCATGCATTCTTTTTTTTTTTTTTTTTTAATATTTATTTATTTATTTCATAGAGAGAGCACGAGCAGGAAGGGCAGAAGGACAGGGAGAGAGAATCTCAAGCAGACTCTGAGCTGAGCGCAGAGCCCAACACAATCCTGAGATCATGACCTGAGCCAAAACCAAGAGTCAGCCGCTTAACCGACCGAACCACCCAGGCACCGTCCCATGCGTTCTTTATACAGCAATGTGATCCAGTCACGTTCAACTCCAACTACAGTCGCTTCAATGGCTTCCCACCATTCTTCGGATAAAGCCCAAAGTCCTGAATATGACTCTTGAAGTCCTCATGCTCCGGTCCTTCCCCGCTCCCCTAGCGTCATCTCTCCCACCTGCGCTCCTGCCCATCTGACTTTTGTTTCTGCTCTGCTTGTCCTTTGCCTCTGGGCCTCTGGAGGCTGCTCCTTCTTCCTGGAAGCCCCTTCCCCAGGGTAAAAGACAAGAGCTTGTAGCAGTCACTTCCTTATCTCCCCAATCCAGTTAGCTACACTAGGTCCTAGCACAGAGCCAATGCGGGCCCTTCTGTGTCTCCCAGAGAGGAACCCCCCCGATCCCCCAGAGCTTGCCCTGGGATTAGGGAAGCTATGCTAGACCTCGCTGGGCATCCCACAGCAGCTGCCCACAGACACCTGGGGGCCTCTCAGATTTGTGCCCAGGGTCTCTGAAACACGCCCTGCTGGGAGGTTTGCATGTGGTTATGGCGATTCGGTGCCCTGGTGTCTCAAAGCTGCAGGACCAGTTGGCTGCTTTCCCAGGTGCTCTGTGTCCTGACGTACCTCTGCCCAGGACACAGTCTCCACCCTGAAATGTGGGCTGGATATGAGGTAATCTTTTCTTTCTTTCTTTTCTTTTAATCAGATCTGGTTAAGGCCCCACGGGGGGGGGGGGGGGGCGGTGGGGTGGGGAGTGGGGAGTGGGGCAGAGACTCCCTCTGAACTCCGGCCCCTAATTCCACAGGATGGGCTCTGGCCCAAGAGGGGCTCCGCTCAGCCCAGAGGCAGCCGCTGGTGGGGCCGGGGCTGAGAAAGCAGGAACCAGGCTCTGTGGCAGGAGGCAGTCACACCTGAACCTGACGGGTTGGCCCGACCCAAGCCCCAGGGTGTTCTGGGTCACACAGGATGTGGTTTTTAAGGGTGGGGAAGTGTATGCCTTCACCTTTCACCCACCCTTCCTTTGCTTCAGCTCTGAGCCCCTGCTCCCCGAGTGTGCCCTCTCACACGCACACCCGTACCCGCGAGAGCGCACGTGGACACGCACAGACACGTGCTGTCTGACGTCTAAAACTAGTCTCATAGGACCCTTCCTTCTCCATAATTCCTAGTGGTCCCCTTATCACTTTGGATTAATTCTCCATCATTCCAACTGCACATGAACGTTTAGTAGAAACTGCCTGTGAAGACAGCCCGACCCATTAAATCTCTGAGAGAGCGATCCGTCATCGACGACTACTTGCTTTCCTCCAGTGGTGAAGATGGAGGAAATGGAACAAGGGCCTCTTTGGTGCTTCTGACGGCTTCTGAGGAGCATGACGGTAGCTTTGACGGGAGCCACTTACCTCCAGGACTTTCCCTGTGATAAACTGGTGACAGGCTTCGCATTTCACCCCGAAGAGCCCCTGGTAGTCCTTTTCACAGTACGGGGCGCCGTCCCTGCAACACAGAACGCCGTTCAGCTCCTGAGGGGGGCCGAGGGGCAGGGAAGACACCAGGACCGAGTCCTCGGAGCCCTTCTCCACAGAACGGTAGCATGCCGGCACTCTCCCCCACCCGGCGTCCGCACGCCTGGAGACCTGGTCAGACATGACCACAACGCGGGGAACCACACCACGTGGACAGAGGGCTCTGGTTCTCCCGGCTACACAGAAATTACAGCCAGATCACCACATGGTTACCCCTGCTGCTTCCCTGTTGCCTCAGAACTAACTAGCAAAACACTGGCTCCATTCCCTCTCCGCACCAGGCCAGATGGGCTTCAGATGTGGCGGCAGCGTTCACCCTCCTCTGAGGAGGCCCCAAGGCCACCTTCCCCTCACAGCTTCCTTGAGCTCCCACGTCATCACCTCCCGGCAGCGCTGAGATGCTGGGTCCTCCGCCCTCAGGAGGCCCGAGGGCTGCAGGGCCTGCTCATCCAGCCTCCCAAAACCTCATTTACCTCAGAGCACAGTAAAAATGCTGTTTTCTAGGTGTGCCATTGAGCGGAAGAGTCAAAAAGCACACCGCAGAGCCCCGTTACCTACTCCCACACAGCCTTTCCGGTTAGTTTGACAGTCGGGCACTTTCCTGTCTCTTCTTCCTTCGGCTGTGCGTCAGAAATCACCTGTGAAGTTTCTTCCTTCTGCTACAGGCCTTTGGGCTTCTCCCCGACCTACAGACTTGGATGTCTAGGGGGTGGGGCTCATGTTACTTTTGTTGTTGTTGTTTCACTCTGTTCTTAAATTAAATTCACGTAACTCTTTTGAATAGCTATTTAACCTGGTTGGAGAACATTTTTTAAAGCATAGAAGGGTTTATAGGGGAAAATTTTCCCTCGTTGCCACTGGACGCCCATATTCATTCAAAAAAAAAAAAATGAGGGAAAGTAAAATTACTAAATGCTTAATTGATGACAACATACCGTGTAACATTATGTCAGCTTTGCTAATTGTTACATTAGGCAAGGATTCACATTTCATTAAATTTATTGCAGGCAGACTATGGCAACAGCAGCAGAATAAAATTCCTTTTATAAAAACTAAAGAAGTTCTACAGCAAAACTGCGTATTGATGGTGGGATGCTAATGTCTCTCACTGTGTCCGGTGGGGGGGCTGGGGGGACCCTCCCAAGGATCCCGCGGCCTGGGCCCCAGCCTTACTTGCTGATGTACTCCCCGGTGAGGACCTTTCCGCAGGACTTGCACTTGAAACATCCCAAATGCCACTGCTTGTCCAGGGCCAGGAGGGCCTGCCCGTTCTTGATGTCCCTTCCGCAGCCGGCACAGTCTGGAAAAGCGCAGCTGTTAGCAGTTACTCCACGTGTGTTCTGTGAAATCCCAACACGCAGGCCGGCTCTGAACCCCGGTGTGCGCCCATCCCACACCCAGCAAACAGTGACTTAAGCACCGTGTCATTCCACTCCCTTTCCCTGCGCTGAGTCTTTCTTAGCCTCACACAGCATGGAAACTCCAGGAACCTCAGTGGATCCAAGGGGATGGATGTCCTTCCTCCATTCATTTCCTTGGGGGTGACTGAAATACCCCCGAGCTCCAGCTGGCGCAGGGAACATTTAATTACATTGTCTTGGCTGTGATTTTCAGAAAGCTCTCCTAGGCCTCTATTAATTGAGGGCACATGTGAGTAGCTGAGCATCTCATGCTGGATGCCTCACTGAACAATATATATGGGATTCCTGGAAAGCAGCCCATGAATCTCATTTTTGTAAATGGGACTCTCCTGCTTTATCATCCTAAACTAGACTTTTGAAGATCTGTGATCATCAGTTGAATAGCTCTTAATTCCTTAGCTTTAAATTCTCCATGGCAGGCTCCTGTGGAAGCAGATGAAGGAGAAAGTGTTTCTTTGTGGTAAAGGGCGTGGGCTCTGGAAGGAGCTGGCCTGGTTCCTGGGTCCCAGCCCAGCACAACAACTTGTTGGCCGGTTGTCCCCCTTTCTAAGCCTTGGGTTTCTTCATATGGAAGCGGGGGCCTTATGAGTGCCTGGCTCAAGCCTCTGACGAGGATTCAATGAAATAATGGTTATCACTGAGGCTGGCATGTGGGAAGTGGCCCTATAAACGTTTCCTATTATTATAATTGCCATTATTCTGATGATTGAATACTTCGTTGTTAGGGACGTTGAGTATTTAAAAGAACCCAGAAGAATGTAAATTGATGCAACCTTTTTGGAAAGCAACACAGACATCCACAGACAGTTAAAATCAATGCAGCTGAGCAAATGAAACCCAGCATTGCTGGGAGGTTGGCCATCATGTCCCTGCTGATTAGAGGAAACACTCATGCAATAAAGCTATGCCCAGACAAGGCCACTTGGCGCACAAAATGACGAAACGCCCCCTTCTTCCAACCCCATGTGTGAAGACTGCATCTTTACTAGTGATATTCCTAGCCCTACTTTAACTCTCTCTCCTCCTAGAAAAACTTACTGAGATGCCCATTCACTGACCTGCTCCTGCGTCTTGACAGAACCCAGCCCAGAACTGCTCGCACTGCCTTGACTCCTCCTCAATGCCACCCAGCAAGCGCTCCCATCCTAGGACAGTTCCTTCAGAGATGCTCACGATTCCCCTGCTGTTCTCCCTTGCTGGGGCTTAAGTTAACTTGACTATCCCCCCTCCTTTTTTTTTGACTACAGGTGTGTTTCTGGTGATCTTTGGTCAGTGGGTATCAATGTACCTTTAGATCCAGCAATTTCCTAAGATTTTAGTCTAGAAATAAATTTGCAAATAAGTGTGCATATGTGTGTGTGTCTGGCATGTGTCCATGCATGTATTCCCTGAAGAAAATACATGTATTTCCTGCAGCACTTTTGTAACAACAAAACTGAAAACAGCTGATGGGGACATTAATGAGGAGCTGGTTACATTAATTATGGTAGAGTCTGGAATACTGGAATAGTATGTACTGTTAAAAAGAATGAGTCAATTTGTGTGCGGACATGGAAAGATGTCCAAAATAGATTAAGTTAAAAAAAAAAAAAAAGCAACCTGTGGAACAGTAAGCATACCATAAGCTCATTTACAAAAAATTAGTGAAGGGTATATATATGTTTGCACACATGCTTGTATAGTAAGTAAAACATTTCTTAAAAAAGAAAATTGAAATGCCTAAGATATTTTCCTCTGTGGAGGACTTTTTACTTCACATCCTCTGTGTTGTTTGAATTATTTTTTTGTTACCACGAGAGTGTAAAAAAAAAAAAGAGCAAATATTTATAAAGTTAAAAATATAATTGCTATACAAGTTCTAAATTATTGCAGATTAGGATTTCTGTAAGTATTGCCCATTATTAGCTGAGCGAGTATTATATGATCACAAAGCATTATTTTTTTAATTTTAAGCTGGAGTCTATATTTCCCAGCATCTCAACAAAAAACTTTATAAAGGGGATCTCACGTCTGGTAGTTTACTATAGGGATAAAAATGGAAGGCCATGATATTTGCTCATACATACAATATTTAAAGGTTAGGAGCACAGGATGAGTTTAAGATGAATTGACAGTTTTTAATCCAAGTTGAACCGAATTTTTTTCATTCTTCTGATTAGATCATGCCCACTAGGTGGCAGTAAAGATTTAAAATAATAAGGAAGATGCTGGTTGGTAGATTTTTTAGGTCAGAAATAAATTTTAGAGATGGCTTTCAGTTTTAGAAACTGAAGACGGTTGGGCTCAGGAGGGTTGGCAGAGCCATTTAGGGTCTCCCCCTGCACAGCCCTGAGATCTAGGGAGATGGAAGGCCTAGGGATGGTAACAGCCCAGGCTTTGGAATTAGGAGGACTTGAGTATTAACTTGGGCAAGTTACAGTCTCTGAACCCTCACTTCTTCATCTGTGAAATGCCAACATGATGTGCTTTGCACAACACTTAGAACGTTTGGTCCATGTTAGCCTCTCAATGTGGCTCCACCTTTCTTTGGTGGGAGCAGAGCTGGGACTAGAAGCCATGTTTCTGGATGGTAAGTCTTGCTCTCTTTACAAGCACATTAGTGCCCAGATATCCCAGAGCTCTGAAAGCAGCTGAGACACAATTTGAGAGCAATAACGATTTCTCTGATCATTCTGCACTGAGGGTTTTGGATGAACCAGACACCATGTGAGGGCTTTATAAAGAGGGTACCATTTATTATTCAGTCATATAGTCAAAATGCCTGCAGTCTGGAAGTCTCTGACCTCACAGGTGGTGTCCCATACTTCTCAGATCCTCTGGGCCCTGCAGTGTCCCACGGAGAACAGATGTTCTGCAATTGACTTTGATAATGGTTTATAGAGAAGTGTTCACCAAATGCTGAATGTCTAGAGCTAGTCAGCTGGTAAAGTGGGGCTGGAAGCAGAGACGGGGATGAGCCACTTCCTCCCAAACCTTTAGACATAAATCAAGAAAATCAAAGACCACCTCCGAGAAAGGAGAATACTGGCCCACACTGGCTGATTCCAAGTATTCTGGCATATGCCACAGAGGCTACTCACTCATTCCTCTCTGGACAAAACCATAAATTCTCCACCTAAGCCTGATGTCATGCTGGGAAAAGTGGAAAAGATGCAGAGACAAAAAGATGCGTGCTGGATTGTTCACTCCTCCCATGCTCATCCCAACTAAGCTCTTTTATAAAGAACAAAATGTCCTACTCTGTATCTTCATGGTTTTCAGCTATTGAGAAAATTGTTTCCACATCACTGAAGCAGCTGCTGGTAAATATAGAAAGCTGGCGATTGGCACTGGAATTATTGCCGAAGTCAGAAATAGGTGAATATGGAGCCCACCATCAAGGAAGTCAAACACTCTAGCAACTTGCCATGTATTCCATCAAAAACAAAGAATCACCAACTGTGGCAAGAGAAAAACACAACAACCGTAAACACTTTGCCTCAAATCTTTCATTCTTGGCTCAAGAGCCAAGAGAAGAGCAGGAATTTGGCTACTTAATGTCTGAGTTAAACTAATATCCAACCACACACCTGGTTCCATATTTGTATCACTTTGTTCCAAGGCAACAAATATCCTTGAAGACAGGGATCCTGTCTGCTTTTATTAATTTATTAATTTATTATTTTGCATCAGGTCATGCACACCTGGGCTTTGAAAGTATTTAAGTTGAAGAAGGTGACAAATGGCTCTCGGCAAGAAAAGTTGTATTCCCAAGCCAAGAAAGATGTCCTCACTTGGGCGGCACTTAAGGTCCTATCAGACTGGATACCTATGTTCTCCTTGAGAACTATTTCTGCCTTTTTAGAATTTCTCACTTGGAAAAGGTAAGGGCCAAAGAGATGCCTTACTCTGTGAAGATGCCTCTCTAGAGAAGAGGGCTGAGGACACGGAGCTCTAGAAAAGAAAACCAGGTGGTAACTAAATGCCACTCCCTCCTGCCTAGGCCTGCATGCTTCAGTGACGCCCAGAACCATTAATGAAGACGGACCTCACCATTCACAGTGGCTACCCATCTGGGATCAAAGCTCTCAGAATACAAAATGGGGATTTTTCTAGTGTTTTGGAATTTTGGACCATGGTTTAAAAGCTGAAGATCATGGTGGTAAATATTCCATCTCCTAAAGAAGGATGCCAGGAATAGCCTTGCAGGACTTTCCAAAAGACAGACTTCACCCGGTGATTACCAACCCCTATTGCCCACTTACCTCTGAAATCAGAAATTTGAAAATGCATAGAAGAGTCAGCAGGGAGCTGTCCACACAGCAGGAGTGTGGGGGCGTTCTCTCCCCTCTGCTGTGACAGGGATTAGAGGACCCTGGGGGGAAGTTTAGGAAGAACCGAGAAGTTTACTGAGTGGGGAAGCTCAGGCCCTAGGACTGCTATGGGTCCAAGAAAAGCTTGATGTTAGAGTTCTTGGAACAAACTGATTTTAATGTCCTAGAGCTTGGAAGCACTCATAAACAGAAAAAACTTGAGCCTGCTGAATTTGGAAGATTTGGAAGGCAGGAAGCTGGTTGGAGGCAGAAATGGCAGGCTAAGGAGCGGATAGAGTGGGAATGGCATTCACTTCCACCATTTGGCTCACTGGGGGATGCACTTATGTCTTGTGACTGGTACCCATGCCCAAGCATCTAGAATGAACCCACTGAACAAAGCTGTCTACTGAGGGTGGGGGACTTCATTAGTAAGAGCATAGGAGACTACAAGGGAGCAGGACCTGAGGCTGGGAGGTGGGGGGAGTTTGTTGCAAGAGGTTAACCAGAAATTGCATGCTTTTGTCAAGGAACTCAAAGTGCACCCCCATAAAAATTGTCTCCAGCCAGTGTTAGCTGAGAGAGCA